CACATAGACCTCGTGTGTCTCTTGTTCTTCCTCTTAATGATGTGCTGCAACTCCTCCAGTAGCACTCAGAGATTTCCAGCATGTTGCGGCCCAACGTGGCACTACGCTGAAGGCACACGACTCTACGGTATTGTGCAATGGAAAAACCAGGGAGGCGGAAAGGAGTACCGGATATAGCTGGGCTACACGAGATTTACAATTTCATGTCATTTTATCGAATTCCATTCATTCCACACTATGGCAGCCACCAATCTTATGCACGATTCCTTTTTTCCTTTTGTTGCCTGCGGATGAATGTCGTGTCATTGCAAAGTTTCCCCCTTTGTATTTTCAAGACTACGACGTGTGCGCCGGCGCTCCCTGCGAGCAGCAGTGTAGTGATCACTTTGGCCGCGTGGTGTGCACCTGTTACCCCGGCTACCGTTACCACCGCGAGAGACACCGGAACCGCCAGAAGCCCTACTGCCTGGGTGAGTCTTTCCAATTGGCAAAAGCGTATGATTTCGTCTTTGGCCGATCGCGTGACGGGACGTGAACATATGTTTATTCTTAAGCAACATCATTTATTGTGCCACAAAGTTAAATGTTTGATTGCGACTGGTGCTGGAACTGGAACACGTGGCTGGGGAGAGGGCAGTCTGGGCTTCCCTGCTAAAGCTGTTGCCCCTGCGACGCGACCCCGGATAAGCGATAGAAAATGGATGGATGGATGGGGGCTTCCTGTATTGTTGTTGTGTTTTTTTTTTTTTGTTTTTTTTTTTTTGGTCATGTTATTCAATTCCTCTTGTTGGTTTTTAGTGTTCAAGTATAGCCCGTCCATCACAGGGTTTTAGATTATATTTTAACTCATTCACTCCCAAAGACGTTTTTAAACGTCTTTTCAGACTTGGTCTAGAATTGGCTGGTACTGAATGAGTTAAATGCCCCGCATAAACCAAATATCAAAATAAGGCAAAATAAAAGAAGCTCCCTCAAGCAATCCACAAATCAACAAACACCTCTCCTAAGCAACCATCAACTTCAGACAAATAAATGCTTCCCTCAAGCAATCGTCAACTTAAACGCCTCTCTCAAATAATCATCAGGTTAAGGCGTCTGCCTTCATTAGGCACCTTTGAACGCCTCCCTCAAGCAATCATCAACTTAAGACGAATAAGCACCTCGCTCAGTCATTCCGGAAGTCTTACATCAAGCAATCGTTAAAATTAACAACCGTGAACTTAAAACGAATGAAAGTCTCCCTACAGCGGCCATTCATTTATGACAAATAAAACGCCTCCCTCGAGTGCATACGCCCGTTGTATTTTGTGATTGTTACCATGGCAACCTCTTCCCACCACAGTGATGCTCCAAGTGCTGTATAAGCTGAAGACAGCCAAGGTGTTCGAGAGGGCCCGCGGCAAGGAAGAGAAGGCGAACGCGGACATCGTGGACGAGGACCCCTTCGCCATCCAGACGCTGTGCTGGTGCCCCGAGAGCAGGATGCTGTGTGTGGCCGGCGTGTCGGCGCACGTCATCGTCTACCGCTTCAGCAAGCAGGAAGTCGCCACTGCCAATGTGCAGGTTAGCATTTGCGTATCATGTCATGGGAAAAATAGTTTCCGTCGCATTGTCTTTTTAGCAGTTGCAAAAAGTGTGGAAAATTTCTGGTATACGGTAATTCCTTGGGAATTTAAAAATTTGGGAAATCTAGCGGGGGATAATTGTGAAGTGTCAGTGTTCATGTTAGGCAGTCCTGCTATATAATTTTTTTAAGGGGCCGCCCCATGACGGGCGGCCGGCTCGCGAGGTGTGATGTCACACGTCCAAACGTCGGCCGCACGGCACTGTGCGACCGCCTGCTTCTGTCCTTGTCAATTAAACGTGAACCATACTCGTTTGTGTCGGAACGTTCGTCACCAACGCAGCGGCGTGTGTTTCGATGATATCGTTCAATAGGGGAAATGAAAGTTGTTTTTTTTTTTTTGTAGCCATGTTGTTTTTATTGAGCAAATATATGACCCATGGAAGTATGTGTCATAAACCGGTTGATCTGTTCTCTCATTTGTAAAACGTGTCCTCTGAACATTCTAAAATAAACCAAATAGAAATGATGGCAATGGTCTCGCTAACAGCGCTGCATCATATCGTGGAGAAATCTGACAATGTGATGAACACGGGGACCTGCTCGGCCACGTGCGACGACTTCCAGCAGATCAAGGCCACCGTTTTGCAGCTGAAACAGAAGGTGAGCGAGCGCTCAAAATGGAACCTGAAATCACCAACGCTCATCAATGTTATTCGTACTGCAGTTCATCGTTCACACATCCTACTGCATCACAATAATGAATTCGGAATATATCACACATTGGAAGTAACTTGCCCAACACTGCAAATAAAAAAAAAAAAAAAAAACTTGATGTAAGCACTCGCTTAAGTCTTCATTGTGGAGATCTGCAGAAACCATCTCCCGCCTTTATTTTTCCACACAGTTCTATCATAGCGGGAGTCGCACGTGAACAGCCCCCTGGAGGTGTAATACACTACTTTATTTATTTCATCCTTTATTCCAAAAAAAAAAAAAAACGCCTGGACACATTTCACTTCACTTAATGTCTTTCTCCGAGTGCGAATTAGACAGCATTAAGCCAACGGTGGACTTGCATTTCCCTCCAGGAATCCATCTGCCACTCGTGGCGCTCTGGGTCACATGATTAATTGCTTCCCGTCATGTGGTGGTACTCCAGCTCTATACACGCCTAATATTAGATACACCACACAAGACGATAATCCCCAGTTGCCATCGACTTTTTGAAAGATGTACTAATTCATCATATTGTGTGGTTGTTTTCTCTGACCTACCTTACCTTCTACCGAGCGTCAAATTTACGAAGCACGCCCGCGAATCCTCGTAGAGGAGAAGCGGTTCAAATCACGGATGGATGGATGGAAATTTGGGTACATTTTGAACTTTTGTGATATGTGCCGAAGTTCTTATTTCACATCGGCTGCGAAAATGTTCGCAAGGTGTTGGATAAGCTCCGCCTGTGGGAGGGGCTAAAGGGGTGTCAGGTGCATCAAGAGCTGCCCAGGAAGGGTGCGCGGTGATCATCTGCATTCGTGCATTTCTCATTCTTTTTGCCTCATCGCTTCATCTCAAAATGCCCACTTCAGAAATAAATACAAGACCATTGTTGTTATTTACCCCCCCCCCACCCCCACCC